GATTTAGCAGGCACACTGTTGGTGGAACTACAGGTTGTGTTCAGTCACTTCTGACTCTTTGTGACCCAAGAGACATCATTTCACCAGGACTGTCAGCAACCGCTTCTTTGAATTGTTCTAAGTCCATGCATGCTTTTGCCTTCAGCAATAGTATCTATTCACCTTGTCTTCTGCCAGCCTTATTTTTTGTTGGCCTTTGATTTTTTCCAAGCATGAGGCTCTTCTCTGATGATTCTTGCCCTTGCTTGTCAAAAATACTTAAGCTTTACTGTCATGATTAGTGCTTCCAGTGAGCAATCTGGTTTTACTTCCTCAAGTACTGAATGATTTTCTTCCTGTGGATCAAGATATTCTCAATAATTTCAAAGCCATTAGTTTTATTTTGTTCAGTCTTTCTGACAGTCCAGCTTTCACTGCCATATATGGCAACTAGGAAATTCACATCCTTGAATACACATACCTTTGTTGTCAATATTACACCTCGGTACTTTAATATTTTGTTTAGACTTATCATAATCCTTCTCTCAAATAGCAGTCATTTTGTTTCATGGCTCCCATCATCATCCCTGTCAACATTTGAGCTAGGAAGATAAAGTCTGTTACGACTTCAACTTCTCCACTTGTTTGCATTGCCTTGGCACTGCCTGTTGACATAATCTACTTTTTAAAATATTGAGCAGCAAATGGCTTTCACTGTTTCTTCAGTCAACCTTAAGGAGAGATTCCTTCAGTCTTCCTTACCTCTAGAGATAAGAAGGGCATCATCAGCATATTGTAATGGTATGTGGGAATTGACCTTGGGAGAGTGGGCTGAGAGACACTGACTAGGGAAAGGTCAGATAAGACACAGAATAGCCCACAGCTGGATAGTGGGTGGGGCAAAAGGCTCAGAGGAGACCCTCCCTAATTTCTTGGGATGTAAAAGAGACGGGGAAAGAACTGTACTTTCAGACTTGCAAGATCCTGTTAATGTTGCCTTACAATAAAGTAGAATTAGCTCATCTGGTTATGTTTCCTGGCTGGTCCACCTAGTAAGGCTAACACATATATAGGTTGCTGCTGTTTCTCCAGCATTTTTAATTGCAATTTCTATTTCTTCTAATCCAATCTTTCTCATAATATATCCTGCATAGAGGGCCAGTTTGTAGTGGTTAAGGCACCAGGCTAAAAACCAGGAATCCGTGAGTTCTAGTTCTGCCTGGGTGACCATGGGCCAGTCACTCTCTCTTAGCCCTAGGAAGGAGGCAATGGCAAACTACTTCCGAAATCTTGCCAAGAAAACTGCAGGGACTTGTCCAGGCAGTTGCCAGGAGTCAACACTGGCTAGAAGGCACAAAAAAAGAAATGATTAAAAATGTATTCCTGCATATAAGTTAAATAAATAAGGGATCTGTATACAACCTTGGTGCACTCTTTTCCCAGTTCTGAAACATTTAGTTGCTCCATGTTCCTTTCAAATGGTTGCTTCCTGATATATTTCAATAGACAGATGAGATGGCCCAGGATACCTATGATTCTTAAAGGCTAGCCACAGTTTGTTGATGCCTACACAGTCCAAAGTCTTTGCATAATCAAAAAAGCAAAAATAGACATCTGTTTTCTTTGCTTTTTCCATGTTAGCAATGAGATCTCAGGTGTCTCTGTCTCTTCTGAATTCATCTTATATGTCCGATGGCTCTCATTCCATGTATTGTTGAAGTAAATTAAGAAGTATCTATTATTTGAGTGGCAGGTACAATAAAAGGAAAATCTTCATCTGAATTAATACAAAATGAAAATGTTTGGCTTGCAAAATGTATTATAAGACCTTCTATCCTCCCAGTAATTTTCTCAAGAAGATTTTTGCTTCAGTCAAAGCTAGGCTAAATATTCCACTCAAAGAAAATTCAAGTTAATTTCTTTCTAGCTTGAAGAAAAACTTGGAAGGCAATTCTGATTCGATCTGAAATTAAGTTGAAGCATCCCAAAGTAAACCACTCTAAGGCAGTTAGACTTGTTGGAATATCTTTTTTATATGTTTACAAAAAGTTTAAATTAAGTAATGCCATTGTATAAAAGCCGGCTTCTCCATTAGAAACAACAGAGCAGTGTTCCTCAACCTTGGCAACTTTAAGATGAGTGGACTTCAATTCCCAGAATTCCCTAGCCAGCATGCTGGCTAGGGAATTCTGGGAGTTGA